GAGACAAAAAAAGACAACAAATCATGACTAAGTTTCTTTAAAATAAACTCACCTGTTTGCTTTGTCGGAATATGAATATCACATTCTGTATGAAAAGAAAACAATACTGAATAAAATATATAATAAATAAATATTAATTTTCTATACCATCAAAAACGGCAATCGGAGCATTACTAGTTGGATCGATTTCTACATTAATTGTTTCATTTGTTTGAATATTTGATCGAATTAAATTAAAACCTGGTTTAATACCATCATTATTCACGGGATCACGTGGAATTAATTGTGGTACCATATCATTCAATGTTTTATCTATATTAGAAAATAATTGTAATTTTAATTGGAAACTAAAATAATTTATGAGAAAAGCCTCTTGTCTGATTAATCGCTTTGTAGTTGAAGATATGTACATTACATAAGCTCCAATGAATTATGCTTATCCTGAAAAGAGTATCTAGCCCTTAGCTTATTGCTACGAAGATACTCCATTTTTAAGGTATTTTTTCATTCAATACCGTACTTCTTCGAATTGTAAAAATTTCAGATCTTTTCATTAGTTTCTATTCTAAAATAAGAAGATAAAACCTATCGATGTATATGAGCATTGTAAAAGATACACTTTTCCCATAGTCGTATTCTAACATATGAGAAAATGAAAAGATCTAAAAATTTTATAATTAAATTTTCTCTTCAAGATTCCTGTACATGAAAAATTTCAAACTTTTTATTATTTGTCTAAACAAGACAACGGCATCGAGTTAAAAAATACCGTAAAAATGCAATATCTTCTTAACAAAAGGCTAAGATTCCAAACTCGTTCCATGGCACGCATAGTTCATTAGAGTTTACATGGTACACTTACGAGACAAGCCAGTAGGTTAATATCCTAGAGTAGAGTGATTCGAGCTGTTGAACTTTTGTTGCTGATATATCAAATTTTTAGTGGATTTTCCCTACTGGGCTCTAGTTCTCAAGTAAAATCAAACTTGCAGAAAAAAAAATTCCAGGATTTTTTTGATAGTCTCTCCAATACATGAACTTGTCAACGTATGGTGAAAATTTTCTTTTACATGCTAGTTCAGTTGGAACTATCATGTGAGCAGCGTTTCAGATTAAAATTGAAAAGTATGATTTTGCTTGAAAATTGGGCCCCTATAGAAAAAAGCCACTAAAAATTTGATGTCTCATCAATAAAGATTCAACAGTTCGAACCTTTCTATGATATGTATGAATTGACTAAGCCCTATCGAGTCAATATAATCCTAGCGTAAAAACTATATATCACTTGAAGACTTGCTATCATTCGAGTATGATTTCCATCTTACAAATCAACATACGAAACAAAACAATCTAATAAACTCTTGGCTATAATAACGCAAAGATAGATGTTAAATGCTAGATATTTTTATCATTTCTTTTCTATGTAAAAGAATACTTACAGCTCATCAAAACAGGTTCTTTTAGTTTTGAATGAGGTCGTCGTCGTTTAGCCTAAGAATATAAAAGACATAATAATTTTATAATTTAAATCAAAGAATATTGTTACTCACTTTAATATGTCTCACAAGCATAAAACAACAATAAGCTGGAAGTCCTATTCCAGCACAAACTGCACCAGCAACAACAGCCAAACATAAAACAATAGGTGCTGCTAAAATTTTTCCACAAAGAATTGAACCTCGTATAAGTCGACGTTTAAATGGATGATCTGGATAAAAACGATATTTGCAACCGAGTACACTTAATTCACTATAATGATCACCTAAAATATATTTTCATAGTACAAATATTAACTATTAAAGAAAAAAACATAAATTCTATATATACCAATAAATTTAATATCTCGAAAACGACCTCCACATTTATAACAAAATTCTGTTTTACAACGAAGACAAACTATATGATCACAACCTTTAGTTCGTTGAATATATACCTGTAACAAAATAAATAAAAAAAATTAATTAAAAAAAAAAAATTTTACTTTGCAAGATGGACATTGTTGTGCATTATGTTGTCCATAATGAACTTCTCTTGCCCATTTTTTTAACATTCGATCACCACGACGAAATTCTTTACATTGTATACCATCATGCCATGGTGAATGACATTGAAAACACCAAATTAAATTACATTCAACACATTGAACTTTAGTTGGTGCACGACGCATCGTACGAAAAACTTCCGGATCTACGCAAAAAAAAGAATGATTCATTACAAACAAAACAAAAACAACAAAATCGATACCTATTTCATGAATATTAGAACATCGTGGACATGTTTTAACGTTATTTGAACGATTTGCATCGACTAAATATCGTGTAAATTTTTGTCGTAATTCTGGTGATATGCATCGTTTATTAATTTCGTCACGATGCATATAGGTTTTACATTGTTGATTTGGACATTGTATACGAACAACACCTTGTTTGATTTGTTGTTCAACATAAATATTTAAACATGTTGAACATACATAAAAATTACAACAAGATCGACTTTGAAGACGTTTCATTTCGCAACATATAGCACATTCAGATAATGTTTCACATAAAGTTATATGATGATTTGGTAGCGTACTTATTGGATTAATATCACTATTTTCTTCATCAATTGTATGATCAAGTTCAGATGATATAGATTTATTATCATCATCATCATCGTCGTCGCCATCATCATCATTTTCATCATCAAAATTTTCTTGAGATTTAATTGTATCTGCTAAAAAACGTCTATTTAATGCACTATGATGAGATATAGCCGATGCTGATGATGATGTTGATGATAATGGACGAGTGTGATTTGATGGTGCACTGTTTTTTCGAAGATGTACAAGATTAGATGATGTCGTTATTGGTTGTTCAGCAAGAGCTGAAAGAGCTGTGCCAGTAGCTTCACCTGCTTTACCCGTTAATGATTGATGATATGAGCGATGTGTAGAATGAATTGTTGTTGGTGGTTTAATTAATGGATAATTCATATAACGTTCGAGTACTTGTCGTTGAGCGGGTGTCAATGGTAAATTAGCGCGAACATTTGGATGACGACTACCACGTTCTGAATGCCATCGTCGTTGATTACCTGTTGAATTAACATTCGTTGTTGGATTATTATTTGAATATGTAATTGTTGATGTTGTTTTAAGATTATTTCGTAATAAACTATCAAGTATAGCTGTTGAGCCAAGAAGAATTTTTCTATTAAATGATTGAGTTTTTGTATCACTTGTCTCAAGATTTGAACAATAATAACAATTATTTGATGTTTTATTTTCATCAGCTAATAAAGTTTCAGCAACATGTTCAAGTTGTGTTGTATAATTTTTTTGTATAACAACAAATGAACATGAATGATTTAAATCTTTTTTAACACATGAATCATCAACATTTGGAGTTGATGATGAACAACAACAACCAACAATATTTTTATTGTTAATTATATCTTTTGTTAAATTTATATGATTATTATCATCATTAAATAAATCCAAATTAAATAATGAACAATGTTGCCATTGCTTAGCATCATGATGATTAACAGATGGTGAAACAGCTTTTTCGTGTTGTATGCTGTTTGACATCTAAAATTTACAAGAAGTTTTTATTGAATAGTATTTCAATATAATAAATAAGCTATGATGATAATGATGAAAGAAAACAAAAATTAACGCCGATGATGATCATCGAGTGTTGTTTACTTTTGACAAACTTCATTTGTTACTTTTTTTATCCAATCAGAAACATTGTAAATTTGACGCCATAATTCAATATTCATGAAAGAGGAGTTTATATAGCAACTACAGCTTCCATGGAATTAAAAGAAGATAAAAAGATAAAATTCTTTTTTTTTGTTGAGAAGAACAATTTAATAAACTAATTCACAGAAGTATATTTTCTTTGATAATATCATTTTCTTTAATTTTATTCAAAGATTATGTGATTAGTGTATAAATCATTTTAATATGTATGTAATATTAATTAGCAATTAATCATACGTTTAATATAAATATTAGCTTTTTCTCAATGTGAATATTAGTGATCAAAAATGATAATTTCTCATAAGGAAATATTTCGATTGTCATTCTTTTTATTTCTAAAAGAGTCGTATCCATTGTTTATTTTACTACTATTCGATTAAGAGTATGAATGAGTGTAAAAAATAGTCACAACCTGCCATGTCAAAAATCTCAAGTTGATATAATAAACTATTAGTCTCGATACATTTCTGTTTATATGTTAAAAGAAAAATAGATTAAGATTATTGTAATTTATCCAATACATAGATCTACAGGTAACCTTTTTTTCATACTTTTTTACTCTACCTCGCATTTCTACTGCAGTTCTACCCTATGTTGCAAATCGTACTGCGTATTCTTCTTATCCTGACTCTACCCTATTGTGATCAGCACGATTATAGAAACCATATTTAAAAATTTCACGAGAACATATTCTTGTTAAATTCAATCTGAGTATTGTTTCAATAATACTGACTTCAATTTTTGATAATCCTGATTATATTTATTTCATAAAAAAGAAACAAATAGAAAGACAAAGGCAAGAGAGTTGAAAAATAAAATAGAATATAACATATAGAAAAATAATTCAAACTTTCTCTTGATTATAAATATTTTCGTACACATGCATTCATAACGAAAGATAATAAATAATTTTTAATCAATTTCAACACTGTTCTATAAATTAAAAGAGATAAAAAGATAAACACTGGGTTAAAAAATCACCTTCTAGTGATAATACAAAAAAACAGCATCGTAATTGATTTACTTGTTCTAAACAACTTTATATCTTATATACTCATTGCACTGATAAGAAACAAAGATATTAACAGGGTTCACTTAAATTCAATTCATCATGGATGTGCATGTATACAGAAAAAAAAACAAACAATCAGTTTTAAACAAAAAGGTAGTTCAGGTTTATAAATACAATTTAATTGGAAAACTATAATGAGAATATAAAGAAAAGCTCTTCTATAATTTCGATAGAAATAATTTATGCAATGTAAGTATATTCATCGGTTGAATTTCGTTCAAGATATTGTTTATCAATAAGAATTTCAATACATTTTTTAATCACATGAATCGATGGTATAAAACGTTGTTTTGATTGTGTTATAATTTCTTCTATTAATAGATTATGTTTTAATGTTTTTCTTGATTTCATTATTCGTACAATAACAGCTTGAAGATAAAATTTTCGATCATCATCAACAATTTTATGAGATACTTGAGAATCCTTAAGAAAAAAAAACAAATAAATAGAAGAATACAACACTTTTTTTTGTGAAAATCAAAACTAATTCTCTTACTTGATTGGTTTCTTTTTGAGCAGTTGTAAGAATTTTAAATTTTGTTCGTTTACTTTTATATTCAAAATTAATTGAAATAACCGACATTGGTGTCAAATTATTCTAAACAAACCAATTATATAGTTGATACTCAAAACTGATCGTAAATAGAGGATCTTGTATTGGTCTCTGGCCTGAAATTTTTCTATTAATCGAGGCTGAGTCCGAAAGATCTGGTCCCGACGGGCTCTGATCGTATATCTCATACAAATATATTTACGAGGAAATATTTCCAAGTGATCCACTCTGTTTGTCCTTATATTTTGCCAAATATGTAGGATATCCCCAGAGTAGCATAACCTCCAAAGATTTTCTCTTCATGCTTGGATTTTGTTGAGATGTAACTTTTAGCAGATGTCTTCTACAGAAGATATCTATTAAAAAATTCGTTATCTCGATCAAATCTAAACATGAATCGAAAACTTTAGCGGTTATCCTACTCTAGTAATATCCTTCACATTGGCAAAATATGAAGACAAGCGAGGCGAATCACTTCGAAATATCGCCTCATTTGGGCATACAAAAAGTAGTGTGGGATGTATATTAATGCCATATAGAAATCTTCACTCTACATGGCTTGATAGTAAACTCATTCTCTGATATGTGATCATTCTTCAAACAATATTCTAATAATAAAATTTCAAAAAGAGCTGTTTGTTATCATATATGGCGGTAATACTAAATCACATTGTCTTCAGTGTGTGTTGTCTTCTTTTTTTCTCGTATTCTCTAATGCTTAGTCGCCTGCACATATTCGAATATACAAAAAGTGATGGTGATAGTAGTAAAACAAGAAAGAAATACTGAAACAAGTTCATCAAGTCTTTATTTGATAAAATGTTCGAAATAATCGTCATGGTTAACTACACACACTGTTACTTTCGTTGAATTCGTTTATCAAACATTTTCATATTCTTCTATATTCAAAGAATTCATGAACTTGGTTCTATACTACTCTTGTAATTCTACTGCCACCACTTTTTGTATGTCCTTCTAATATATAACGACGACTAGACAGTAGAGAACACAAGAACAAAAGAAGACAACATACATTGAAGACGAAATCGGATCTTATATTACCGTCAGATATTACAATAAACAGCGCTTATCAACATTTTATTACTATGATATTACTTGAAAAATGATCAGTTAGCAGAGCATTTTTTTTACTATCAGACAATATAGAGAGAAAGTTTCGTTAAGATTTTTATAAGAAATTGAAACAGATTCGTCACTATTTTCTAGATGTTCTAATTATTTTTCGATGAGCTCAACGATCATTTTTAAACCAATTCAACGGTCATCATTGCTTAGTATATCGATCGTAAGAAGTTCACAGCACAGAAATATAATCTTTGATACAGATAAACTGTGAAGTCTAAGCTACATTTTAGCAATAACTATACCTAAATACTTCAAACTTTTCTTGAGATACTAAGAAATCAAAGGTATTTATTAGTTTTACGGTTAATATTGTTAACAATGATGAATTGTTAATGAAAATAGAACTTACAGTATCATTCAATAAAAATTTGTTTTCCATGAAAGGTAATATTTGTTTTTCAAGTTCTTTCATATTGAGTTTTGTTGCTTCTTGAATTTCATTTAATGTTAATTTTTTCTGTTCATTAAATGTTAATAATATAGCGATTTGATATGTACCCATGGTAACAATATACGGACGATCCAAATGAGACATACGTATTTCACCTTGAATTAATATATAATAATTTATCTTATTCTATACAGAATAACTTACCATTTGATAAATTATACATCCAACATAATTTTCGACCATTATATTGTTTATTATAAAATGCTTCAAACTAGATTGAATACAAAAGAATATATTGATTTAGAAAATAAATTATTTCTTACCAAACGAACAGGTTTTTCAAGTGGTTGAGGAATTGAAAATGTAGCAGTAGTCATTGGAGCAATAGGCCATGAATTAGCCTAATTAATAAGAAAAATGAGAGTAGAATTGTTTTCTTTATCATAATTTTAAACATTTTTTGTTTGGTAATTACTTGTAAGACATATATATTAAAATCTAGTCCAATTAAATTAGTCATTGCTTGATTTTGTACGTTTAATGATGATTCAGATTTGAGATAATTCAAAAATTTCGTATAGAGATCGTCACTAATTTTTACATCTTGAAACATACGAGCTAATTTTGCAGTAAATTCATAACCACATATTTCCTATATAAAATTAACAAAATCTTAATGGTAAGGTCATTCGTTAAGAATTTTGTCACGATCAATAAACATAGTCTTACTGTTAATTGAAACAATCATTTTTATTCATTCATACTTTTCTATTTTGAAACATACAAGAGAACCCCGCGATGAAATAAAATCATCTTTGAAATAAGTTTTAACTCGTTTGTTTTTAAGGAGTTTTACAGCAGAGTACGAGGGTTCTTTTTTTAGGAAGGAACCTTTTCAATTGGTCTATCGATTTCTAACTGAAAGCTAGTGGACTGTAGATTACACGACTACGCTGATTTCGAATATCATGATGAAAAATTCTCGTAGGTATTTATATTCTGATCTTCCGACTAATAAAATTTTTTCGAAAATCCTTTGTTGATGTGTCTAGACTATAGAAAATACCGAATCGCCTAGAAAACAATAACGTTGCCTTTTTCAAATTGTTTTACAGAAAATAAAGCGTTTTCGAGATAATATTATTTTTGCTTAATATTGATTTTTAGACAATTCAATAAGATTATTATCTTAAGAGACAAGTCGATATGCTCTATAATCATAATAGATTAAAAGCGATTTCTGCAAGCTTTCTGCCAATCTTAAAAACACAGTTTTCTCTAAAACTGGCATATAAAGACCTACGGAGGTTTTTTATGAATATTGAAATTGATTTCCAATTTTTCATAAGTAAAGTTCTCAATGGGAATAATTAGTTATAAATGTATCAAGTATATTAGTATATCTTATTTTAAGAAACAAAAATATAAAAATGTATTTTGCTGTTTTTCATAATAGAATTTCCAATATTATTAACCCAGGGTAAGAGGTACTGACAAAGTCTGACAGTTTTATCGCAAACTGATAGAGGTGTTATTAGTGTGACATTTGACGTTAGTTTTGAGGATGATCTAAGGAGCATCTTAGTATTTTATCAAAAAATTCGATGAAATCGCCTTAACTCAAAAAAAAAGACCCAATAGTAAAAGTCTTTTTAGGCTTTTTCTAGCACAGACGGAACCTGTACGGATTTTAGACAGCTTTCATCATTGTTCTCTAGTCTAAATATGGAATCTAATCAATGAGTTACGATTAATCTCAAAAACCATTTATTATTTAGTGAGGTTCTTCTATTAGTCCATCTATAAAATCATTGTACCTAAGAAAAGAAAAACGACACAAAATACCTTAAGTTTTGTGACCATAAATTCTTCAGCATCAATAGATGTTGATTGTTGATTAATCAGTCGACGTGCTAGCATCTTTTGATAGAACTACAATTGCCAAATTCAATATCTTGTCTGTGTTTTATACAAAACTTACACGTTGAAAATAATCTTTATCTTCTAAATAATTAAATATAGTAACTCCATGAAGTAATTTTTCTTCTATTTCAGTTTCAGTTGATGTTTTTGATGATTTACGTAATAAATTATCACAATAATGAGCAAGCTAAATACACAAGAAATTAAAATCATAAAAAGAATTTCATAAAATCAAAAGAAAAACATACTAATTCTGGTGCTTTAGCTGATAAACGATTTCCATTTTTCATATTAACAATTATTGCACAAGCTTTATCAAGTGATGAAATAAAATCTGGATCACTAGCAAATGTTTTTCGTATTATATTTATATATTTTGTATGTAACTCAAGTAGTGTTTCAACAAATAATGTTGGTAACTAAAAGAAATTGATTTTTTTAAAAATAATTCTTTCATTTATAATCACATACATTTTCTCCTTTAAGTGATTGAACTTTTTCATGACCAATACGTGATATATTATGTTGTAGTTGTTCAACCATATAATTTGTACCAATATGTGTTGGTTTTAGTAATTTATACATGTTTTGAAGAGCTTAAACAAATTAATAAAGAATACAATAGAAAAATGTCTAACATAGATAATTGTTATTATTGATTACCATCAAAATCTTCTTTAAGAATAAGATCATTGCATTTATTTTTTAATGTATCATAATGATCACAAACAAGACGTTGAAGACATTCACTATTTACTTTGATATATGATGTTGAATTTAGAAATTTACGACTACGAAATTCTTCATCATCGATTAATAATAAAATCTGTATAAGAAAAACTTCAAAGAAAAAAAATACTTTATTTCATAAATTTACTTTTTTCATATAGTGAATACAATCAAGTTTAGCTAAATAACTATTTCCTTCTTCTCGATAATATTCTCCTGTTGCTTGAAGAAAACGAGATTCAAAAGATTTTTCATAGAGCTTCAATAAAAAGTTACAGACAATTATTTTTATGTATAAAAAAAAAATTTGCTTTTTATTTTTATTTTTTTACTTCTAATATATTAATCTTTCGATATTGACAAACATCAACAAATGACATAATTACACATTTTATTGTTGTTTGATTTATACATTCTCCTATACGATCACTAAAAGATAGAAAAAATAAATAAATATCGAGATGAAAACTAAGAAGTCTACAAACAGATATATTTGTTCGAGAAGTAATGTAACAAGTCGTTCTTCTAGTGGTTTTATGATAATTTTTGCCCAGCAATCAAGCGCCATCTAAAACAAAACAAACGAAAATTCACAATATAAAAGGAATATAATACTATGTTGAGCTTTTGGTTATCATTTCGCTTGCATGAGTTTTGATAAAAATACTCTTTTGTTGATAATAAACGCGTTGTTAATAATCAATGATCACTCTTATGACAAGATATATTATATACTCAAGATATGATTTAGCTAGATTGTCAATATTGTTGGCTGGAAATAATATGAAAGAATCCTTTTTTTTCCTATTTCCTATTCTTAAATCGATTCAAATATATGTTGAATCTTGAGATACATGACTATTTCAATTGAATAAAATATCTCAAAAATCATTAATTCTGAAAAGCTTTTCAGAATAAATATTCCACCAAAATTTGATAAATATCTAATTTAATAAATTAAATTTTACCTCTCCGATTTCGACTGGTGATTGATCATCTAACTCTATATTATATTCAAGCATCATATTATTTCCAGGATCAATTACTTGATGTTTCTTAACAAGCGTATTATTTAAATACCTAATAAAAGAGTGAAAATAAAATTTCTTTTTTTTTCGTGAAAAAAAAAAATTTCTTTTTACGCATAGAGGCTATTTAAATGTTCAGCACCCATTTTATATTCAGTCCAATTTTTCACATAGATGCTAAGTGTATTTTGTTCAGATTCAGCTATGTCCTAAATAAAAAATCTTCTACAAAATTTTTTTTTGCAATATTAAATTATCAACTTTTTCCATAGATCTACAATGATCTTCAAGAAATTTTTTTGTTTCCTCATATAATCGTTCAGCATATGAATCCGGAGTAGCTGCACATAGATCATAGATATCTATATAATATAATTAAAAAGAATAATAAATAATGTCTTGTTTTCTTTAGTCTTTCAAACCAAAAAATCTTGTATGCCATGTTGATTTATCCGTATGACCATATTGACTCATATTGATAACAGAACGAACAGTACTTAGTACTATTGGCCATAATTCATTAAAATTAACTTGTTTTGTTTTAATTGCTGATATCATTTTCTCTATTTAAAAAAAAATAAATTGAAATAGAATTTTAGAGAATATTATCTTAAAATATTATTGAAACCGGAACTCACGAAGCAACTTCTTCAGGTATCGAATTGCTTTCCGACTGAGATGATGCTTATTTGATGAGTAATTGAAAAGTCTAGAAAAATTTGATTTTTCGGGTCTTCTTTTTTAAGATATCGAAATTTTACTAGAATAGCGCTGTAGTCACCCTTCGATGACATAGAAAATCCTAAAGTTTTGTTCATATATGTATATCTTCAGAAAAGAAATACTAGAAAAGCTAAAACTTGTTCAGAAAACTATTCTCATTGAAAACTTTGTGCGTGCCACATTTGAAGTCGAAATTGAAATGTCGATTTTCAATGTTACTTGAGAGGGAGAAAAAAAAACTCAATAAAATTTCGATATCCAAAGAACGAAGTCCCAAAAAACCAACCTATTCTAGTCTTTTCTTTTACTCACTGGTATTCATCAAATGAATATAGTCTCTGTCGAGAAGCGATTTGATAACTGATGAAGTTTTTTCGTTAGTTGAACATAGCTTGATTCTACACAGTACTAAATGTGATTGTAAGAGAAATATCTCAATAATCATTGTTCTATGAGATATTATTGTTTAAAAGCTCTTTTTGAATCTTTGTCTTTGAAACGAACAATTATAATATATGATACGATATGCTAATACCGAGAGAACTTACGATTTTAAATATTAATTTTAAACTATGATGGCACTATCTTCTCTTCTAGTCTTTTACTCATGATAACAAATTCTCGACAACATACAATGTATCTCAATGTTTTTTTTTAATATCTCTAGACAGAAAGAACATGCAAAACCTGTGCTTTTCATCATGTTAGGGAGACACGTGCGGTAAAGAAACTGAGAAATTTTTTCAACTATCAATTGGTCACCGTAGTAATACACGTTTTCCGTTTTTACATTAAAAGCTTTGTATAGGTAAAATTACAGAAATCATTATATAGCAATCTACGCTCATGTTCAAACTAAAAATAAGACTTACCTTTCGATTTCACGAAATCAAATACTTCAAACTGATCACAATTCAGATCAACGAATGCTAAAGTTTCCAGCACCGCTCAGAAAATCCTCTAGTGAAATGAGCTAATAGGATTAGTCTAATGTTGTTCAACTGAAACGTATTCTTTGACGACTCCTGGTCAAAATATATATAAAAACTGATTATCTTGACCCATTCATAGTCGAGATAATTTCATCGGATTTTCTCTCCCAAATGATCCAAACTGTAGATTTCTAGCTACGCTCACTCTTCAGATATTACAAAAAAAGCATCAAAGTGTGTTATATTTCGATGCACAGAATAATATCTTTAATCAAATGAAGTTTTGCAGAAAATGAACGATTGTTATATTTTTATTTAGACGGTTCGTTGTAAGATTATTTCGAAAAAAAAGAGCTATCATGAATTCTACAGTGTAAAATGGCTATTTCTAACAAATATTAATAGAAAACTTCCGCTAGGAATTGAATCATTGTTGACATAATCTTCAAGCAATCTTCTTACTAAAACTTCATTTCTAAACTTCAAGAGGCAATGTGTTTGACAGAGTGTTTGATAGGATACTCAAAATTGAAAGGTATTCTATTTGTATATTTTTTATTAGTAATATATATTGTAAAAACCTTTTTATAAAATGCAAACCATATATACAGACTGTATTAATTAAAACCTTCTCTTATTGTTGATTGGTTTTTTTTTCATTTACCTAGTTAACATATATTTCTTTGAGTTTTTTTTATAGCATAAACTATGACATTATCTTATCGATGAATAAGATAAATTAAATGATTATCTAAAAAATAGACACTAGTCGTATATATATATACATATCCAAGTCGTAGTTGTTGTTTTTTGTTTGTAATACAAATATTCATTTTATCAGTTAACATAAATAATAGAACAACAAAACAATCGAACAATAGTAACACGTGAATATTCGTGAAATGAAAAAATTCTATACACACTGTGCTTTTATATAAGACGTAAATGTTAAATAACAAACTGAGTATCAGGAATATATTTATTGAAAGACAAATTTTATATTAGGAAATTTCTGTTCTAATGTTTGTTGTTCTATTGAATTTGATATAACATTACCATTTAATGATAATTTTCGTAAATTAGAATGTTTTTCAAGAAATTTTTCAATACCATTTACTGTACATTCTGTACAATTATCAAGTATTAAAATTTTTAATTGAATAAATGGTTGTTCTGACCATTTTAATAAACAATTATCATTAACATTTCTTATGGAACTTAAATTTATACTATGCAAATTTGGACATTGTTCATTAAGATTTAAAAATATATTCGTACTTATTGTTGTACAATTATTTAAACTAATCGCTCGAAAGTCAGATGTTAATCTATTTAATGTTTGATCTGTTAAATTAATACAATCATCCAATATTAAACTATTTAAATATGTACAATTATCAAAAACAATTGTAAGATCTTGATCATTTAATGTCAAAAGTTGACCAAAATCAATATGTTCTAGTTTAGGCCAATAATGAAAACATGTTGAATTTTGATTTGATGAAAGATTTTTCAAACCAATACAACGACTTATATTTAAATGAATTAAATTTGGAATACAAATAGCTATTGTGTCAAGACTGATCCATGTTATATTTGTACATGCATGAAGAATAAGTTTTCTTAAATGAAAATCTGTTTCTGTACGAATAAATATATTAATTAAAAGTGTATCATCTAATATTTGACATCCAGTGAGATCAAGTGTATGTAAATTAATAAATTGTGAAAAGTTTATTAAATGATTTAATGTTGATTCTGTTATATTGTTCCAGCGAAGATTAAGTGATAAAAGATTTGAACACGTTTGTACTATTATTGGTAATAGTGTATTAGGTGTAAATGGTTCATGATAGCAACCGGTCATTGTAAAATCAATAAGATTTGAACCAATTGTTTGAAAAAATTCAAGCCACTTGATATTCTCAGAACTAAATATATGAGGAATAAATTACTCTTAAGTATTATGTTAGATGTCTACGAAAGTTTTTATTCTTCTAGCAAAGAAAAGTTTAAAGCATTATCTTTTTTTTTGTACTTTAAAATTCTGTTAGTTTTGATTAATTAATCATTGTTATGAATATCATTAGTCAATAAATTCATTTTTTCAGTGCAATAAAAAAAGAACCTGACTCAAATGATTTACACAAGTTTACTTACTTATTCTCATTTGATTGTTGTAAATTTTCAAGATTTTGTTGTCGACATTCAATAAATGAAAGTGAAACAGGTTTACGTCGACTAATACTATTGAACCAAAGTTGTTCTAATTCTTTTCGGCGATTTACTATTATTCGATGATGACATGCTTGATCTTGTACAAGTAAATAAAAACGTTTACAAGCATAAGAAAAATTATGCAATTCATTGGTATTTAAATAAGGTAAAATTTTAAACCAAAGTTCTGTTGGTAATTTAAACCATGGTGATAAACGATTATGCGCAAGTATACTATGCTCTAAAACATGTGTTAATGATGTTTCAATTTCTGATGAAGGTATTGGGGATTCAGATGTTGTTGGTATTGGTGAAGATGATATTTCCATCATTGTTGATGGAATTCTTGGTGATGGTAATGGTGTATCTTCTTGTCGTTGTAAAATAGAAAATTCATCTTCAAGTGCTTCAAAATTTAATAATTCCATATTAGCTGGTGGTGGTACTGAATTATTATCATTAATTCTTTCATTGTCATTATTCATTGCAATTGATCGTTGTTGTTGTTTAAGTAAATGTGCTTTTTGTAAAAGATCAATTTCATTTTCTAATTCTTTTGCATATATAATTGGTACTAATTGTGATTCACTTATATCACTGTTTGTTTCAAGTTCATCTAATTCAAGTAATGGAATATTATTTATAGTTTTGATTTGTTCTTTTAATGGTACATAAGAATAATTTTCTTCATGTTCATCGATTGTTGAATCAGCATGAATCATTTCAGATGTTTGAAGTAAATCATCCGTTATAATGGAGTTTTCAATATGAAATGATGATAAATCATGAAGAGTATCTAAAGTTTGTTCATGATGATTTATTTCAATATTTAATGAACGATTCATATTAGATATATTTTCATCAATAGGAATTGTAGAAGAATTTCTATTCGTTGGAAAAGGTTGAGATGATATAATAGGAGCTAAACGAGCATATTTTGAAACAAATGACATTGTTGTATCATCGGTACCATTTGATATTGAAGAATTTCTCATTAAAATAGCAGTTGGTTGTGAATGTTCACGATCTAAATAAAAAATACAATACATAATTTAATTTCTTTATTAATGAAAAAAATATTTTGTATGGATGACGACTAGAGTCCTACAGGGCAAATTTTTTGCGAGTTCCGAATTCCGTTTTATTTTTTAAGCGTCCCGATCCTGAAGGCCCGACGCGACGAAGCAAACGGAATTCGAAACTGTGTCGGAGAACTATATTGTATTTAAATGAAAGAAAAAAAACTTATGCTAAAACAAAAATATTATTTACGTAGTGGTTTTTCATTGCTAATAGGAATCACTTCATGTGTTTGTGCTGTTGTTTCTTTTCTTGGTGTTTGTTCGGCATTAAAAAATTGATCAAGTAATAATGACGCTGTTGATGAACTTTGTAAACGATCTTCTGTCATTGATGGATTATTTTCTGGTTCATGATGATGATAAAAATGTGTCATTTTGATATTTGATATTGATGTTTGTGGTTCATTGCCGTGTATTTTAGGTAATGAACGTGGTGGTACACGTTTCGAATTAATTCGAGTTGAATAACGTGTTGCATTTGGCGATGTTTCACGTGTTGGCGAATGATTTGCAGATTTTCTTGTTGTTGGATATGCAGCAGCACGTAATTCTCGTGATAAATCAGCTATGGAATGATCTTCTTGTGTTGATACTAATTTCAATGGTTCAATTGGCTCATATGCTGTGCGATTGTGTACAGGTGGAGCAGATGATGTATAATAAGAAGTTGGTGCTGTTGGTACTGATGGTGGCAATGGTAACGGAGGTGGCAATGGACTATCTGATGAAAATGGTCTTCGAGTACCATCAATATTAAATTGTTGTAAAAGTTGTTGATTATATGCCAAATGTTGTACACGATTATGATCAGTAAATGATAAACGTCGTTGGCGATTATCATCTGCATTATTTGTTGTTATTGTTGTTGGCAACGGATTTAATTGAGCAAGTGGTGTACGTCCCTGTAAATATGCTGGTAAACGTGTTGGACGTGAACTAGTACGATTTTTTAATATATTATAACCAGATGATAATTCAACTCGACGAGAAAATTTATGTATATCAGGTGTTGTATGAGTAAAATATGTTTCATTTGTTGATGATGTTGATGATGGTGTTACTATAGGACGATTAATATCATATAAACTTATTGGTGGTTCAGGTGTTGCTTCATAATCAGCTGCTGTTTGATCAAAATTTTCTCTTTCATTTGTTGTTAATGCACCACCAAAATGAAGTGAATCTCGAAGACGATTTGAAAAAAATTTACCCATCGATGTTGTCGATGGTTCCATTCGTCGATTTAGGCCAAGACGTTGTCTATAATCATTCATCTAAAATAAAATTTTAGGAAGACCAAACAATTAAAATAATAAGAAAAAGAGAAAATAAAATTTTCTTTTCTCTAGAAAAATCAAGTAACGAAATAACAAAATAGTGTTTTAAAGTGTTTGAAGGACGTAGACATACTCAAATAAAAAAAAAAGAAATACTTTTCTCAAGAAATAAACACAACAGTTGGGAAGACAAGGTGTGTACGTTCACTCGACAACCAAATAAAAGGAAGAAAAAAAAACAAAACGAGAGAAAAAAGAGATCCGATCGCTAGATGAGATCATCGGTCATACTTACAGGTTGAATTTTTTAACCAATTAGAACTTACAAGTTAAAAGAAATTTCATTGGTGTAAAAAACAGAAAAGTTTGTGCATTTCCATTCTTAACATTGATATTTTCACATAAAGAAAAGATCATTCTCAGTATTGATTTTATAGATAAATAATGAGTACACATGTTTATACAACAAAATCTAATCCAACAGATGTTCAAATCAAAACACGGTCTGTACAACGAGCATTAGATCCATTAGTTGTGGAGGTTTGTCATAATTAATTTTGTCTTTTTTTAATCAAAATAATTATTTTGTTTAATTCATATGAGCACTTCTGTATGAAAAACGTAATATTAAACTCTTATGTTTAGAATCAATATTAATATTGAAAGTTATCGTCTATTTTGTTGTTTAAACGTAATACTGAAGAATAGGATGAATAATAATCGATTCGAATGTATAATGTGATGCAGAACATTATTTTCAAATTATGAGTTGATTAATATAGAAAATTATTTCTTTTCAATGCTTTTAACAAAACTTAAATAAATTATATTTTTATAAGGAAATTGAATTTTTCTATGGAGTCTTTTTTGGTACAAGAAGAAGGAACGAGTTCGAAAAGGTTTCAACGACCTTTATTGTTTTTGCTTTTTGACATTCTATAAAAATCATCTTTCTCAATATTTATGTTCTATTGTATTTTTTCTATTTTGGTAGGAATGATTATAGAACATTATAACAGAGTTGTTCATTGACTGGAAGTTCTCGTGTAAGAATGAAGTAATCATAACTTTTTAATCCACTTGATTTTATAAGAACAATAACAAAGTTAATTAATTGATTGTAATTGAAAAATACGAGACTTCGCTCATGATACATTTTTATTTATTTCTATTATTTGTATGTGCATGTTTTAAGAAAAAATAATAATAATAAAACGATTTTAATACGAAATTAACCTTATTTTAAAACAAAAAAATATATCATTTGATTTGTTTTCTTTTTTTAAAATGTTATTTTTTCTTGACTAAAAATAGAAAAATAATCAATGAAACTTTTTTTTGTTAAATCTAATTGTCTTACCTACGCTATTTATTTTTACATTAATCAGAATGCGATTCGACATATCTAAAAATAATTATAATTATAAAAGTACTAAATATCTAAGAAATTTATTCTTCTTAGGTAACGTCATTGATATCTGAACAACCATCAAATACAAAAAAAGGTCGTTCAAAACAAGCTCAACAATTAGTTGAAAATGTTATTCGAGCAACAGAAAATTTTATTAATAAAGCTGGTGAAATTGCTCATGAAAATCCTGATATGCGTAATGATTTATTACAAAGTATGAAGGAAGTTAAACGGACAGGTAACAAAAAAAGCTTTTCTTTTTCTATTCAATTTGTTTTCTTAATTGGACATAAAAAGGTGATGAAATGGTTGTTTTATCAAAAGAATTTGCTGATGATCCAAGTTCAAAAATCAAACGTGAAAAAATGATTATTGCTGCTCGAGCTTTACTTACATCAGTTACACAATTACTGATCTTAGCTGATCTTATTGATGTACAATCTATTTTAAAATCTATTCGTTTAGTATGTATATTTGATCCTTTAATTTTTATTTTTTATTTATCTTTATGTTTCAGATTGAAGATGATTTACAACATATTTATAATGTATCAAATCAAGAAGAATTAATTCATTATTATAAACAATATGGAAAAGATCTAAACGATTTAAATCATCATGCACAACGACGACAACAAGTAAAATTGTTTTTGTTTTCTTAACAAATAGTACAAAAAATATTTTCTTTTCAAAGGATTTAGTTGATCGAACTGAACAAGAAAATTTAGCTGCTGCACGCGCTACATTAAAACGATCCTCAGTAATATTATTTACATCAGCAAAAACTTATTTACGTCATCCTGAAATCCCTTCGGCACGTGAAAATCGTGATTTTATTTATAATCAATTACGTCATGCTGTTAATGTGATTTCTTCCATAACACAAGGACAATCTGAAACATCAACATATAATTCATCATTAAATACAATTGGAGATTTAACAAGAGCATTAAATGAATTCGACGTAAAAAAAAATGTTTTTTTATGTAAACAAAAGAAGCAATGAAGTCTAATAATTGATTTATTTTAGAATATAATTATGATGAAACCACAAAAATTTAATGAACAAGTTATTCGACCACAACTTGAAGGACGTCTCGAAGATATAATATCAGGTGCAGCATTACTTGCCGATTCATTATCAACAAGAGAAGATCGTCGGGATAAAATTGTTCAAGAATGTAATTTTGTTCGACAAGCATTACAAGAATTACTTGATGAATATATTAAATATGTACGAATAGAAAGAGAAATTTTAAATATTATAATATTTGATCTTTTTCGTTTTGTAGTCGAAAAAGAAAAGTTCAGATGAAAATGTTAATGAAAAAATTCAATTAATGCAAACAAAAACTCGTGATTTACGAAAACAGGTAAATGAATTTTTAATAGTCATTCGTTTTTTTTTCTTTTTGCTGTTGTCTCGATTTCGGAGGTCAGGAAACGAGATTCAATATAATGAACTAATTTTATATACATATTATTTATCAAGATTTCATCTCGCTCTTTCTTTCATATTTTTTTTCTTTCTTTTGCATTGAATTATAAATGACCACCCATCTAGATGTGTCGACAAAGAGAAAGAAAAATATATAAGGGCAACATATTCATTTCTATATACGCTTTTAATTGTCAAGAGGTATACCAAGTAAATGTCGAATTGCATATCGTCATCATCGTTATCATCTTCATGATCATCGTCGTAATTCAGTCACAGGCGTTGATTGAATAATTTGTTACGTCTATCGGTCAAAACCTATCGACATACATTGAATATAAAGTCATAAAGAGAAAAGAATAAAGAGTAAAGACAAGATTAATAAAGAAAATAATGTATGTTTATCTATGTGCTGGTAGTCCAAATCCAATACATAAAAGTACAAGTATTAATTTATATCGAGAATCATCATTATCATCGATAGACTCATTTGAATGTTCTTATTTAACACCTACAGAGACTGAAGAAATATCGGTAGCAACGAATTTTAATTTCCTTAATTTGAAATATTTTTATGTGTTTTTTTTTGTCTTTTTTTTCAGCTTCGAAAAGCAGTTGTTGATCATGTTAGTGATACATTTGTGGCTACTAATGTTCCACTTCTTGCTTTAATCGATGCAGCACGACGTGGTAATATTCAATTAGTTGAAGAAACTGCTCAAATCTTCATAGAACATGCAGCTAAACTAATTGAAGTACACTTCAAAAATATTTTATTATTAAAGAGAAACAATTTTTTTGTTCTTTCAGGTTGCTAATGTTGTATGTTCAATGTCTGATTCTATTGAAGGTATAAAATTAGTTCGTGTTACTGAAAAACAAATTGAAAACCTTGCGCCACAAGTAAAGAAAACTTTTGTTTTTTTTTTCTGTATACAAAGTCAAACATCAATGAATTCTTTTACAGGTTGTAAATGCTGCACGTATACTTGCTGCACGTTCAACATCAAAAGTAGCTCTTGAAAATATGGATATATTTCGTGATACATGGGAAAAACATGTTCGTTTATTAACTGATGCTGTTGATGAAATTACAAAAATTGAAGATTTTCTTGCTATTTCGGAAAATCATATACTTGAAGATATTAATTCATGTATTCAAGCTATGGTTGAACGAAATCCAGATCGTACGTATATGAAAAACAAATTTTTTTTGTTTTAGATTTGAGGAAAATAAGGAACGTTTATATTTTGTTTTATTTAGGTGTTGATCGTACAGCAGGAGCTATCCGAGGACGATCAATGCGTGTTATTGATGTAGTTACAGCTGAAATGGAAAAATATGAACCAGGAGAATATACAGAAGCTGTTATGGAAAGTGTGCGGGTTCTTCGAGATCACGGTAAAAGAGAAATTTTTTGTGTATTGAAATACAGAAAAGAAGAATTTTTGTATCTAGCTATGCCAAATTTTGCCGAAAGAATTCAAATAGCTATTGATATTCTTCGAATGAAATCTGCACAAGATAATAGAACAGTAAATAAGAATAGTTTTGTTTTTGCTATAAAATAAAATTTGTTTTTTTTAGTATGAATTAACTGAACAAGAATTAATTGAAGTATCAAGTAATGTTTATCATTGTATACGTGATATTCGTAATAGTGTATTAATGAATCCGGTAAGTTCAATAGAAAATTTTCGATATAAATATAGAACTATATAAAATATTTGAAAATAAAAATATTCTTAGCTTATTTTTCTAATAGGAGAAGTGTGTTGTTATTTCACGCTAGCTGACACTATAGAAAATTAGTTTGTTTCTCATGTTATAATCCTTTTATTTGAAACATATGTAATCACTTCTATATAGATATGTATGTTATGAAGAAACAGCAGTTAGTTAATGGGTAACTTTTCTTCGGTAGACATATTTTATATTCAAAGTTTGTTAAAAAATTTGAAATCGAAAATATTGAACAATGGAAATTTTGATTAAAACTTCGGTTATTTATGATTATTCTTGAAATAAAATAGTTCGAAGATTAAAGTATAACATACAATACAAATCTTGCGTAGAGTTATACTCAAAGTAATGACGCCGGTGAGTAACTGAATTGTTGCATGTTAGACAAATACTCTCGCGACACTTGTTCTCATTATACTGAAAGCGAAAGGTTGTATCAAGATAGAGATTAATCTGAGGACAAGATCTATATCTGATTCCGTAACTTCTCTAATTGGCTTTTGATTACTTAGTGTTGTAAACAAGAGCCATATGGAAGAAAATATCAGAGAAGCAACAGTTGTAGATTTAAATACAGCACTATTGTACAAATTAGAGCACTAGTGTAGTATTTCTCTTTACATACATTAATGCCACAAACAGTTCTCTCTAATTCTTCGATATTACATCATTCTTTAATTAATATGATAATAATCAAATTCCAATGAAAACTGCTCATCTCTATTTTAAATAGATAAATTTTTTTTTTCTTCTATACTTCCTATTCATTCAAAAAATTATTCAGAGAGAATAATGTTTCATCTTGTAGACCAGAGTTGTTAGATAATCGAAATGAGTTTGTAAAAATCATCAAGAAATTAACGATTAAATGCGACTTGATACATCTGCAAAATAAGACAATATCTGAAATTCTTGCATAAGTTCATCACTTTACTAATGAAGTTTTCTATATGACAATTGACCAAGAGCAACTATAAACTTGCCTGAATCATAACAAAAGAATGATGAACTACTTAAGAAATAAAGAGCATTGTTTGGAGTATCAGTGCATATAAAAAGAAAATTTCCTCGAGCTAGCCATGCGATATTATAGAGCCGGCGTTATAATTTTTGATGTATCGTAAGTATATGAATTCGAAAATTTGAATGTTAATATAGATTGTCTCATGAATCATCACGCATGAGAAAATAGGTCAATGACAACCATTTAATGCCGTTCTTTTCACTTTTTTCTTCAATGAATCATGCTAGACAAAAATATTCGTCAGTCTGTAGGAATAAAGTTCAATGCTTGTTAAAAATTATGCTTACAACAAAAATTAGCTCGTAAATTTCATCAAATACTGTTCATGATTTGTTTATTTATGTGCAATTAGAAAAAAAACTACTAATAGTATAATTATACTCATGTAAATCAAAAAAAGGTTTTCGAACTGTACGTATTTTATAATTTTTTAGGATCTTGAATGGCCAAGTGATGATGAGGAAGGTTTAAATGAAGAAATTTATGCTCCATCTCAAACATCAAGTCATGGACCATCATCCGATGGTCAACAAGTCGATCTTGAAATGCATCCAGGCAAAAATGATAATCCTAGTCGAGTATGAATCGATAATATATTTTTTAATTTTATTTATATTTTAATGATTTATAAAAATAAGGATATGATGAGACGATTACCAAAAGAAGAACGCGAACAAATTGAAATTCAAGTTGAAGGTTTTAAAAAGACGAAACGTGATTTTGAACGTGAAGTACTTAAATGGGATGATCGTGGTAATGACATAATTGTTCTTGCTAAAAGAATGTGTATGATTATGATGGAAATGACTGATTTTACTCGGTAAAATTTTTAAGAAATGATCTTTTTTCAATACAAAAGTTTAAACGATCTTTTTTTTTTTAGTGGCCGTGGACCATTACGTACAACAATGGATGTAATTAATGCAGCAAAAATGATATCCGAATGTGGATCAAAATTAAATAAATTAGCTAAAGATATTGCAGCTCAAGTAAATTGTTGAATACATTTCTTTTAATATCAATATAAAATTATTTTTTTTTTGATAGTGCGTTGAATCTCAGTCGAAATCTGATTTGGTTGCTTATGTTGATCGTAAGTAGTCATTCTATTTTTCGTATGAAAGTTTCTTATTGTTTCATTCTAAAGGTATTACTCTCTATTGTCATCAATTGGATATAACAAGTAAAGTAAAAGCTGATGTACAAAATATAAGTGGTGAATTAATTGTTAGTGGAGTATGTATTTCTTTTTTTTTTTATAACTTAATTGAAATTTTTAATTTAATATTGTTTTTTCATTAGCTTGATAGTGCAACCTCATTGATAACTGCGGCAAAAAATTTAATGAATGCTGTTGTGCTTACAGTTAAAGCATCGTATATTGCATCGACGAAATATCGTAATAAATCGGGAAATAAAGAGGTAAAATTTATTTAAGATTTTCATGATGATTTGTATTGACGTTACTTTTTTTGTTTTTCTTTATTCTTCATTAAGCCAATTGTTCAATGGAAAATGCGTTTACCTGAAAAAAAACCATTGGTATTAATCGATCGACAAAATGAATCAGATTCACGCATAAGAAAAGGTTCGGCTAAAACACGACTTGAACCATTGCATGTTCTGAGTCAATTTCAGAATTAAAATGAAAATAATTTTTTTTCAAATTTGAATTTGAGTTTGTTCATATTATTAATGTAATCTGTAAAATTCCATCTTTGTTTCGTTTCCATTTTTCTTTAATACTTTTACGAATATTCTTTATATCTGATATAACGATTTCCATTATTTGTGAAAATATAGACTTTCAGTTGTTTTTTTTTAATGTGCATTAGTTCCATCTTATTGGTTCTAATTGTGAATTAAACATTTCTACTAGTAATATAATCATATATTTGCCATATTGATCATCATTTTCATTTATATTCATGACTAAGAATTTTGATGGCTTTTTCAGGTTTTTTGATTAAATACTTTACCTTAACGTTCATCTTTATTTCATGATTAGAGGTTATTAAAAACATAGGATTAAACTATTTATTGGAATAACGATGATTATTATCAATCGTTTTTCTATAATTAGAAAAAATTTCAATTTTCAGAACAGGTAGATCTTAACGAATAGAACAAAATTTGTCATCCTGCACGCTGTCTTCTCTAAGATATTGGCATCACAATGGCGAAAAATGACACTCTCATTTCTCTGATATGTTATGTTCGATCGACCAGAAAAGTTTTTTTGTCAGATACTAGAGATTGCTTGGGGTGAATATCTTTTATTTTTTATTCTTTGGATACAAGAGCCAAAGGATCGAAGGTATTCTACGAAACGCATGTTCTGTTGAAAAGAACCATCAATATTTGAAAAAAAATTATCCGTTCCACACCGCGTATAGTAATAATATGTGCAAAAAGTTTCAGCTCGATTGAATATACTATGTCAGAGAAACAGAGACATTGCTGTACTTTTTTCATGCAAAAATTGGCTCGAGACAAATTCGATTCGTTATTTCCGTTATGCAAATTTGATTTTTTAATGTTTAAAGACAATTTTGGGATTTCAAAATTACTCAACAGATAGATTCCATTTTCAGACTATACAATGGACACGAAAAAAAACAAAAACTATAGATCAAGTCAGGGGTAACTCTAATTGTAGAGATTATTTGTTCATCGGAAGAATTATATTTAGAGTAACTTAAAAGAAAATTCACATTCAATATGTTAGTTTCCAAAATAGTTAATGAATTTATCAACAATAAATTGTAGAGTATATCATTCCGGTAGCATAGAATGAGACAAAATTTTTATATTTTGAAAATTGTGATCCGATTTTTATCTGTACAGGTAATAGTAGTTTTTTTAGTTTGAAGAAGGAAAGAAACAATAAAGCAGAATATAGAATTTAATACGACGAAACCTCTATTAGTGTACATCTTCCATTTTGATCAAAATCTAGTTCCTACGAAAATGTTGTATTAACAATCACAATTGCAATCTTACCCTTTCTTAAATGATCACAGGCGTACTTTTCCTTCCTCTCAGAGATGTACAAGATCGAGACTTGTGGTCTCTGTTCCCGTCTAGAGAAAACTATTCCAGATATTCTCTTCATAATTTTCAGCTGCTGCACTATAAATGTTGTCATATGTGTGTTGTAATTGTGGGTGTCAGAAAATGGCATCACATCTTATGTTAAATGAAAAAATTCAATTTATTAATGGTAACAACAATTGTCATGATTTATCACAATATAAATTAGCTGAAAATTGAATATTTCATTTGTTTATGTCTCCCATATTTTAAAATGAAAATTCGAAGGTTTCGATGTACTGAAACTTCATGCATAGATATATATGGATGATATTCTACAGTAATTTTCATCAAAGTCACATCCATCGAAAACATAACAATAAAACAGAACTATTCGAAAGTACGCCAAATTTTCTATTCGATTGCAAAAATTTTTAAATTTATAAATATTTAAATGAAGAAAGATGAACAATCTTCTCAAAAGTTCCGCTCGAATTCAATCAAGAGAAGTTTTTCTAGATTAATGAATCCCGATATACAACCAAAATCGCTAGAATATATTGTTATTCTTATTATTTATGGTCAGAAATGATCATTTACAATTTATAGAAAGCAATATCCTCAATTGAGAGTTATTAAAAATTTCCTACTTCCGTACTTCTTTTGTGTTTTGTGTCCGTCAACTTGGATGAGATAAAATGCAATATGATCACACAGCTGAAGATATTTCAATGAGATTCAATTTTGCGAAATATATTTTTCGATCGGATCGATTAAAACATTATTTTTATTCACAAAAAAAAAAACAAAAACAAGTCGTTATTAAATAAAACAAGACTTCTACGTTCAAAAGAATTTGGATTAAAAACTTTACTAATTAGCACCGAAATAATTATGTTTATTCAGCCTATAAAAGTATATATTATGACAACAAAAATAAAACGATCTAAATTGAATATTCGCTCACTTGAGTTGTTTCTGTATTACCAAAATTAATATAATCTTTTTTTGTTGCTGCACGATATTCATCCATAAGTCCTTGTACAGCCTAAAATTCAGAAAAGATAATAAAAAGAAAAAAAAATGAAACTTAATGTTTTACTTCACGCGAATCATTAAATTCATCGAGATTCTCTTTAAACATTGGTAATCGACGAAAATTTTCTACGAATGCTTCACGTTTTATCAATTTATCATAATGTTCACATATTCGATCAAATAACTAAATGAATACAATTCAATTTTATTCTATAAATAAAAAACCAATAGCATACTGATGAAATGCCTGTATGATTAGCAAGCATTAATCCACTAACACGATGTTGTGTTGTAATATATGGTGATTTTTTTGATAAGGCTACTTGAATTGATGCTGGACCCCATGGAATAAAGTCTGCTAATTTTCGTTCACGAATACGCATTAAACTTTTATGTACCTATGTTCATAGATCAATTTATAGAATAAGAAAGCAATACAAAAAAGAAACAGAAAATACCTCAGATGGATCAACTTCACCTTGAATTATATTCAATATTGAAACATAACAATGAGTTATATTTTTATCACGAGATGCAGTTGTAACCATAACATTTTTTGGTTGTAATAAGCGACGCATTACATCAAGAACAGTTGTTTTACGTACTTCAGATTCCTATTACACTTATATGAAATATAATAATGTAATCAAATATTTTACGTACTGTATTATCAGATGTTAATGGTGTATAAGCCGAAATGAGAAAATGTAAACGAGGTGTTGGAATAAGTGAGGATATAAGACTAATTAGATCGTTATTCATATAACCTGGATAACGAAGCGTTGATGTACTACCAGACATAATTGTTGATACCTATAATAAAATTTATAAATTATATAAAAAATTTTAAAAAAAGAAAAAAAGTAAATTACTAATTGATTAAGTTCAGCTAATGTGGGTGTCGTCTTTTTAAGACGTTCAGTAGCAATACGATTTAATGCTGTATTATCTAAGACAACCTATTTAAATAAAAATCAGTAAGAAAATATTTAAATTAATTTGCTTTATATAAATTTCACTTACAGTACAATCAGCATTTTCAGTTAAACGTTTGAGTGTTAAAACTGAATTATATGGTTGGACAACTACATCTGCCTATTGAAAGAAAAGATTCTTATGTATACAAGAGAGTATAATCAAATGTTGAAACCATTTGAACAAACATCTTTTATTCATAAATAGACCTTAATATCATAAGGAAAAGCTGAAAAGAATTAATTTTCTTGAATCTTTATTCTTGAGTTATGCATGCATTATAAAATGACCGATCATGAGCAAGATCTTTAATGAAAAATCAAACGAACGAAGTTCGGTCACAGTCTTATTTTACGGAAAGCATCAGTTGCTGGAAAATTTCAAGATCTTTAGGTACTTATTCTAACTAGTTATTAATCAAAGCTTCAAACTGATACTCGTTTATTCAATTTTTTCTTAAAATATCTTTTTCATGACCGGAAATCTACTAATGCATTTATAACTCAGCAAGAAAGGATCAAGGAAATGAATCCTTTTCAAATTTTTCTATATCACAACGATGCCAAGTTATGATTAAAGGATGGAGTCGAAATGACCTGTATATCCAACAAGATGTCTTCGTTAGTATTTTCAATCAAATTAAGTCATATGTTCAAACCTTATTTATCACTGATGAACTAATCTTTCAATTTTACGCGAAACATATTCCGAACTGTCTGCTAAATTATAGAAACATAATCCAAATTATTTTTAAAAATTTATCATACACCCTTGTTGATTGACGAAAAATTAACTAAGGTTATTATTGCCTAGAAACCTAAAGAATTTCTAAATAACTAATGATGATGTAGTCTTTAAGTTACCCAATAATTATATGGTTAAATCGATTATCACATTGTCTATGAATATTTTCGATTAACAGCTTGAGACAATTCATTATAAATATGATTTTTCTCGCGAATCAGTCAAGTGAAAATTGTTATTCTATGTTTTATATTTGATCTTAATTTATGATAATGAATACAGCACTATTTACTAGAGCTTTCAAAGATACATTTCTTTCGTATTATTCAATACAATGAAGATAGAAAAGGAAAAAATTGAAAAATTAAATTCTTATTTAACTTAGTTTTCTTACCACTTCATTTGTCATAGGAAAAACCGAATAAGTTTGAATCAATTTTTTTGGAAATCTATCAAAGAAACGTATAATTGGTAATAATAATTTGAAATATTTGTTCACCGATCATTGAGTTTTTCGAGGATATTACTACCCATTCCTGATCCTGTACCACCAGCAATTGAATGACAAAGTACAAAGCCCTATAAAAATAAAAATTGAAAAAACTAATAAATTAAAAATGAAACTAACTTCAAGAGAATCACCATTATCAGCTTCACGATCAATAATATCAAAAATTTCTTCAGACAATTTATCGCCTTGATGATAACCTTGAGCCCAATTATTGCCTATAAACAACATGATTATTACATTCAAGGTTATTAGTTTTTTGTAAATAAAAAACATACCAGCGCCTCCACCATCTTTTGACATATAAACATTCTCAGGATTATATAAATGCTTATATGGTGATTTCAAAATACCATCAATAACACGAGGTTCAAGATCAAGTAAAACAGCACGTGGAACGTAATGTTGATCATCAGCCTAATAGAAATAAAAATATTTCATTGATCAACAAATATATTGAACAAACCTGATAGAAAAAGACATCTTTTCTATCAGAGCCTTCTGTTGCAAATGATTCTAGTTTGCCTTCAGGGCTTATTCCATGTTCAGCACATAGTTGCTTCCAAAATTCCATACCGACTAAAGAATAAACGAACATTAAAAAATGATCAATTTACAAGAACAACTTAAAATCATGATCAATGCTATTCGAATATTTAGAATTCACTAAGGTAACAGTTGATAAATATTAGAATTTCACATGAAAAACTGTTAAAACGTCTTTTCTTATTATTGATTAAAAATTGTTTTTAGACGATCAAATATTCTTAAATAAAAATTCTATTCTTTTTCAATTCATGTATATTGGTATTCTTCTTTTCTTTGAAATACAAAGGAAATAATCTTTACAATGTATCAAAGCACCTTGAAATACAAATAAGAAGTGTACAGTTCAAGTTCATTTTCTTTTATAAATGGTTATTATTTAAATGCAATTATGTCGAACGAAGTAGTTGATGTAAACAGTCTTTTCAAAGAGACTAATCATATGAAAGCCATATTGTCATGGCTGAATGACTATGTTGTTCAACATGTATATATAAGATCCTATATTCAAACGTGAATACTATCAACTATGGAATAACTGTGAACAAGTCAATAATGGCTGTTTGTTTCGGATCACCTGTCCAATAGCATGTCGACTAGGTTGAGATATACACCTGTTCTTGTAGTTGGTTACTGTATATGGAACACTCAAACGATTGAACGCAAGAATTCTGTGCCAAGCTTCCCTTCTGTCGCAAGCCACAAATTGTATTGCTTGTAGAGTAGACATCGAGCTAGTGAATCGGCAACTATGGGCAGCAACTCATATTGTAAGGTAGTCGAAAGTCAGGAGTATACTTTCTTCTAGGTTTAGATTTAATTTACTCGTATAATAAAACAGTACTAGTAAATCAAAGAGTAGCAATTCAAAATCCATAACTGTAAGATTTATTATTAAGAGCTAATATGCAACTTTTACTCTTCTTTATTCAAAGCGTTTCAAAGATAAAATTTGTAGCTCTCATTTTGAGAAAAAAACCTATTCTATTAGATAATCAAGTGTTTATTTGATTTGTTATACTCTTTAAAAATCTAGATAATATTCTTACAAAATGAATGATTCTCATTGATCATCTAACATTAAATTGTACACTAATATTATAATAAAATCTTATCAGTTTATGAAATAGACTATCATCTTATATTCAATTTATTTTGAATTTCAATAAAAAAACAAATTTAATCATTCCTATATCACTCACTCTGATTGCCACATTGTCCAAGTTGTAATGTAATAATTTCACTAGGCATATTCTTGTTGTATTTCTTTCAAAATAAAATCAAAATCTTCAAACAAAAGACAACAAAAGTTATAACTGCAATATCTTTGGGTATTTTAGTTGGTTAACTTATTTCCAAAAAAAAAGAAAAAAAAAAGACCAAATGATTAGAAAGAAGCAGCAAGACAACACAATTATGCTTAAATGAAGAACAAGGAAATCGTATATGAATTCATTCGATTTTCAAGCGATGTAAAGAATTTTCTTTTTGAGATAAATACGAATACACAGAGAGAAAAAAGAAAGAAAGAAAGAAAAGTATTATCAATAAGGAAGTATTCGTGAAGAATATGACACAAACCTTTCAGACGCAGTAAAACAATCTGTTCACATTTTGTTTGTTATTTGTCTGTCTTTTGTTTCTGATTTTTTAATAATTGAGTGTTGTTTGATTTACACACAGACACAACATGATGATTACATTTAACAAAAAGAAACAGAAATAAAGTGATAAACATTCAATGAAATGAACATCAAAGCCAGGATTAATAAAGCGCGTTCATGTAAATCCAAAAAAAGAAAAGATCTTGTAAAGTAACACACACCGGAATAGAAGGATAAATTCTAATATATGTTTTTCCTATTTTTAAAGGTTAGAATGTTTACATGCGCGCTTACAAAAATAATAATAAAGGCTAGTGTGTGCTTAGTTATTTGTTTTAATGTGTGATAATATAATTGTTTATTTTTAATTGCTACATGAAAAGAGAAAATAACCGAATGAAAAGCCAAATAATAATGCAATAACAAAAGCCACAAGAACAATTTGTTCAGTTAAAGTAATACCAAAAAGAACAAGACCGTTTTGTTTTTGCTGATTTGATTTAAGTCGATCGACGACTGGATTACCACCTGTTGCTCTTTGTCGAAGACCACTTTCTTGTTGCTTAAGTCTTTCCTATAACATAATTATATAAAATTGCATATTATTAAAAAAAAAGAGTAATCACTTTTAGAACTTCATTTTCATCTTTCAAACGATCAATTTCTTGTTTAAGACGTGTTTTACTTGAATCGTCAACCACATCCTAAGAAAAACAAAATATAAAGTAATAAAAATAATTTTTAATAATTAAAAAGGAATTTTTATCAAAAAGCCAACAAACAATATATTATAAAAGGAAAAAAATTAAGCAATGTGAATAAGACGAAGAAAATGAAATTTAGGTTTCGTTTATCCGTATATAATCCAATAAATATAAGACAGAACCTGTTGACGATCTTGATTTTGAGATTGCAAAGGATTTATTGATCGTGAAACCGTCGGTGATGTTGATCTTTGATTAAAAACTGATGATGATGAAGATGGTGTTTGTTGTTGTGTACGATTTTCAGTTATATTTGTTGACTCAATCTAAATGCGTACGATCATACATGCAAGCAAAAAAAAGAAAAATATAACAAGGAGAATAACATAAATGTAAAATAATCAGGCAATTTTGTTGTCAATTAGTCAAACAGAGAGCGAGAGAAAGACAAACATATAAAATCAGAACTAATTATTATACTCACATTACGTAAAGTTGGCTAGAATAAACAATTTTTTAAATTAGTTAACAATTGAATATAAACCAAAGCAAAAAAAAAACACGAAATTTAATTATAGTTAGCAGTATCATCCAAACTTTAGGGGATTACGAACGAAATTTTAGTCATTTTTTAAACTGAATTTGAAAATTATAAAAAAAAAAGGAATGAATTTTTTTCATAAACCAATCATCCTTCTAGAAATATCGATTGACTTGTTGTAAATGACATATATATCAGTTTTTTCTTTTCTTAGTGTGTCATGTGGGCGTATACATATAGTAGATGAAAGCATGAAACAAGCGTTGCTAATCACCCAGGCTAACATTGTATATGACAGAATAGCAAAGATGTCAACAAAAACTAATTACAGTCTTCTTATCCAATTCTATCGGCTAGTGCGAATTAATTTTTTTTAATGCTGAACATAACTTCTCGATTTTTTTTTGCATTATCAAAGAATAAATTTGAATTAATTAATAGTAAGAAATAGTATGTCTTTTTCACTTACTGCATCCAATTCACGATGTCCATGTGAATCATTAGGTACAACAGCTGCTGGTTGTTCATCAGCAAATACACATTTTAATTTTGAATCTTGTACATTAAGATTTTTTAGATCTTGTCTCCACTAGAAAAAAAATTGAAAAAAACAAATTTTATTTGATTTAATCGATCAATTGTTTTTTTTACTTACAAAATTATCCACATCTTCCATATAATTACTTGGTACAGCAACCCATTGTACCATAAATTTATGTTTAGTACGATCATCAGGTTGACCAGCTGGTTGTGGTTGTAACATAACTAATAGAAAGAGAAAAAGAAATTGAAAAATACAACTTTTATTGATTTCTTTTATTTAACCTTGTATATTCGTCGATGCATGTGCATCAAGAAAACCACTATTTGGTTTAACACAATAACGTTTGGGTGCTGTTGTTTTAATTTTATAAGCCAATCGATCATTTCCACTATTTGATAATTTTAGTGCTGTTGTTGAAACGACATTAAATGGACCTTTAAAGACTAGATCACTATTCGGAATGAGTTCAAGTGTCATAGTTTCGTCTTTTTCTCAATGCAAATTGTTAAAATATTATTCTATTTTTTTTTCTGTCTTAATTTAAACAAATAGAGGAAGACAAATGAAATAAGATTACGTTGCTTTTTTTCTTCCTATATGAATGTCTAGAATGTTTAAAAAAAGTGTTAAATGTCAATTAGAACTTTTATCGCATGATCTCAGAAAAAAAAAGAATAAATAACAAATATGTATTATATAGAGAGTTAATCAATCATTTTTCATTGGAAAAATTTAGCACATTTATGCACTTCGTTATTTTATATGAGAAATATATTTCTAAGAAATTTCATGCTAATAGAAATAAATATTTTTAACTTTTTAACATATAAAACATTTCATATTGATTAAATAAATGGAGGAGTATAAAAGGATTCTAGACTAAGAAAAGAAAAATAAGAATAGATATATACAGTTTAGACAAGAAAATATAAACAAGAATTTATTTTCTTTTGTTGAAATAAAATAGAGAAAAAAAAAATCAAGCACTTTAAATTTTTTCTAGAGCAAATAAATATCAATCTAGTTCAATTTTGATTGCTTAAATTAAAAAAAATGCGTGTTGTTGTATTACCTGTATGTTTACTCGAATCATATCCACATGTTCTTCTCAAATATGATTTTCGAGTTATGCCACCAACATCAACACAAACACAAATACCAGCATCACCAGCTATTCATTCAACAACATCATCAATAAGTGGTGCAAGTAATAAATCAAATATACGTTTACAAGAATTTTATTTAACTCCATATTGTTCACCTATTCTTCCATCGGGTTCAATACATACTGTATGTGAAATTATTAAAGGTTCAACTGTTCTTCGATATTTATTTGATGTTAAAAAAGAAGATGAAGAAAATCTTGAAAATAAAGTAAATATTTTCTTTTTATCATAATATAAAACGAAACAAGAAAATCTTATACAATATAATATAGATTGATTTTAAAGGACATTGTCGTTTTATTGCATTTGGTCCTGAGACGGATATTTGTATATGTGCTTTATATATTCCACATATATCATCACTTGAATTAAATTATATAAATCAACCTGATCCACCACTTTCACGACAACATTCTAAATTGAGTTATGTTCGTTTACCATCTGATCCAACAATGAAAGAAGTAGCATTAGCATATGGTAATCCAGGTAGTGAACATTTACCAGCAACAACATTCGTTACACGTGATCTTGTTCATTTATGGATATCAATACGTGATATTCGTCATAAATTAGTACATATTGATCGTGTTCTTAAACAACCTGGTATTTTATCAAAATTAACACATGTTGAAAGTTGGGTTACATCATATAATGATAGTATTGGTGAAAAAGCAACTCAATTAGAAACTGATGCAACACGACGACTTATTAAAGCACGTGCACGTACACTGGTTTGGGATATAATGGAAATGAAAAATGAAATTTTATATCCGCATCCAGGTTAGTATGAAAACGAAAGAAAAAAAGAAGAATTTTTTTTACAATGATAAATTTTATTTTGCTCTTTAAAATATATATCATTAATAATATCGACTATTGCAGACATAATAGGACATATCAACTTTTTATTTGACTTTGATTTTTTTATACAAGGATTAGTTCTTTTAATAAGTCTGAAGATAAATTCTACAGCGAAAACTGCAGATTTGGTAAAATTTTCATCAAGATCGAACTTCAAAGAACTTTCTCTTAAAAATCGATTTTCTCGAGATGCTGAAAAAAGATTTGTTTTTTTCTTGATAATTTCTCTGAACAATGGTCTCTAGCGCTAGTTTTTTTTCCAGAGTATCTAGAATAACTTAACACATAATTTAGCTCAAGGAAATTTCATTATCTCGAGATACTCATACTTTAATTTTGTCCATATGTATTTATGAGTCAATTGAAACTTTTTTGATAAGAACGCGGATTCTTTTCAAGTTACTCATACAGAGGTGCAGAATCTAGCGTAAAAAAAAATTTCTCCAGCTAGAAAAATCAAAAAAACATGGTCTTCGGTGGATTATATACCTATAAACAAAGGGCATCGAAAAAGAACTACTTAAAATAGATAGCGTGATTTAGAAAAACAATCCGTTCTATTAATCATCGATTGATTCTGGTAATCTTGGTACTTGTTTTTTTTTATCAAATGATTTAGTACAATGGAATCAGGTGATATAAGTTTCCATGTTTGATCTTATTCACTCTTTTCTATAAAATAACCAATTTTTCTCCTTCTTGCTGCTAAAGTAATCATCCAGTGAATGTTTGATAAATGAATCAGCGAGATGCAACGGGGGAGCATTCCAGCATATGTAGAGACATTATAGCTTATGATTTTTTTCGCATGGGAAAAAGTTATTTTTCGAAACGTTCCTAGACTTAAAAACTTTTCAAAAATTTTCTCCACCGCGCATTACCACACATGGGTACATTCTGCACCTCTGTACTCATAGCTCAAACTAATCAACGTAATGTACATAGTATTGATTCTTAAGCGATTTATCAGTTCGAGAACTTCCTTTGTCAAAAATTGTTTAGTTTTACTTTACAGAAGATTGTTAATTATTTGATGAGTTTCACATGATATGCATATTGGTTACTTGTAGTTCAATTGATAAGTCAAACATTTTAAAAATTTTTTGAAATAATTCAACATAAATTAAATTCTGATGAAATATAGAAATATTCTAAGTTTTTCATTGAACTTTTAATAATAATTTTTTAAAGAAATCTATAAGAAAATTTGTTATTAATGGGTCTTTTATACGAAAACAAAATTCTCTATTTTAGTTCATGGACGTATACCTAATTTTCGAAACAATCCTGATTGTTCAACAAATTTGGCTCAACTTGAAGAATTTCAACGAGCACGTGTTATTGAAATTTGTCCAAGTCTTGCTCAAGAACATTTACGTTTATTTTCATTGGCTGAAGGTAGATGTCAAAATAAAAAGAAATACTTTATTTTGATATTGTTATTTTAGGCAAAGTACTTCTTACTCCAGCACCATCCATTGATAATGCACTTTTTTATAAACTTGATCCAAAATTTTTACATATTCATGATTTATCACGTGCAGCAACAAAATCTGGTCTGTAATTCTTCTGTTGTTAAAGCTTTAAAAATCATAAAAGTCTTTTTTTTTCAAGGTACTGCTGCTCTGGGCACAATTGTTAATTTAACAGCTGTTGGCAATCTTCATGTTGATATTGTAGTTGTTGCTTCTGTTGTTGTCAATCCAATAACTGGTGCTCGTTTAGGTAAATAAATTTCATTTTCTATGCTTTCTAAATGAAATGAATTGCGTAATTTATTTAACTTGTGTCAGTCTTAATTTAATAGTATCATCCATGAAGGGTTATTGAAAAATAATTGAACAAAATATTCGTTCATTTTTAAGCTGCTAAAAACCAAGGCTTTACTTTTAGAGTTATTACTGGAGATTTTCAATGATTTATAATGATGTCTAATGGCTCTGATAATTTTTACTTCCACTCAGAATTTCTATCCTTAAGGCGTTCTGATGATTTCTGATATTGAAACCAGTTCGTTTTCCCTTGGAAAGTTCGACATTTTTTGAAAGGCACAGCTTTCACTATCTCCTCCCTAATTAGTAACTCTGTTTCCGAATATAGGCTCAACATTGTTCTAAGATTTATAGTTTAAGAGTTATACGCATACGTTATATTATCGTTTTTCTGCATAGAATTAAAGGCGAGATTGATCTATGCAAAGTAATACAAGAATCACAAGTTTTAAGACAATTATTCAGAATTGTTTAAGCTCACTTTGCAAGTCTGTGTTCTACAGAAATTGACCTGAATTGACACGGTGTACCTCATGGAAATACTCACTGTCAACAAATGGCTTGGAGTAAACTAATCATTAGTTTATCATCTTACAGAGAAATGTTCACTCTTTCGTTCACTGTATGTGAAATAACGTTCGTTTTTACTCTGAGTAAGGTTTTAGCGAGCTTCAATTCTTACAAACTGAGTTTACAGATCTCGAAAAAGCCAGCTCACAACAATGTTTTATTTAGATTTTCTTTTTTACGGAGAGGCAATTCAAAACTTCATGACACTGCTCGCTTATTTTGAAAAGCATAAATACAATATCTGGTGCAATAGCTATTAAATTCGGGAGAACCAACAGTAGTATTCAGAACGCACACAGAATTCTGATGCTAACCTAACGTTTATCATTTTATTATTATTAACGATTCAATATTTAAGATCAGAATTAGGCTATCAATAAAATTTAACAGAAAATTTATTCGATGTACAAATTTCACTGATATCCATAAGCTTGATGTAACATCAATCGGGTTAGTTTCATCAAAATCTCAAGTCGATATGAGTATTAGTGATTAGAAAGGTTTCGAACAAATTCTTTTTTTTCGTGTTTACAATAAAATATAATTTTAGGTAAAGGTAAAGGTTATGGTGATATTGAATATGCAATGATGCGTCAATTGGGTGCATGTGATGATAGAACACTTGTTGTTACAACTGTCCATGAAAGTCAGTTACTTGATGATCTTCCAGCATCAGTTATGACTGAACATGATTTGTATGTTAAACATGTTGCAAAAAAAAAAATCTTTGTTGATTAAAATTATTTTTTTTTAGACCAGTTAATGTTGTTATAACACCACAACGAATTATTTATACACAAAATAAATTTTCATGTCCAAAAGCTATTAACTGGAATTATATTGATAATGATACAATGCTTAATTTACCTGTATTAAAAGAATTTAAACGTCTTCAACAACTTCAACAAGAAAAATTAAATTAAAAAAAAAAGAAAAAAAAATATTCTCTTTCTTTTTGTTCTCTTACCTGTGAAACTTGAGTATTCAAATCGATGTTTATTTTGATTGTCTTCTCTCTCTTTCTCTCTTGGTATTTTAAACTCATTTGTTTTATTTTACTTTTTCTTTTTTCTTAGTCTTTCTTCTATCTATTGAATGAGACGCTAGATCTAGCCATAAAAAACACAATCAATCGACTCACAGATAAACACATTTTTTTTATATAACTTCTCTTACCGGTGGTATGTCTTGGACATCTTGTAGATCTTAGGGATATTTTTTTTTTGTCTTTTGTTCATTTATTGTGATATAGAGAAAAAGATATTCGGTTTTTTTTTTCATTCCATTGAAACATTGAAAAGAAATATAAAACAGATCAGATATATAAATGTATACATATTGTTGTGTCTTTAATGAATATACATATAACAGCTATGATGAAAGAACAAGACATGGTTTCGCTAAAAACGACTGAAAAGTTTGAATTTTTTCATGTTGATTGTCTTGGCTGTCTGAGCTGATATGGAAATTTCATTTATATGTTTCTTTGATTTTTAAATCTATTTCAGAATTAAATATTATATTTAAAAGAATAATTGAGTATGATTTTATATACTTAGTATTGTTAAGTATGTATAATGTTATTATGAATGCTAGATGACAATTGAATTTTTCTTTTAGAATTTGAGGAAGTACTATCATTAGGAAATAGACCATGTAAGTTTTCTTTAAAATACGTCATATAGAGAAACGAAATTATCGTATCCTGCGTTGTGATGAATCATTCTCATCCTCAAAATAGCTCCGATGTGTGTTTTTCCACGATACACTTGGATTTTACGGGGATTACAGAGATCTATGTATGTAAATCGAGAAAACAAGCAGAGCAATATGGTAGAACAAATCATTATGATATAAAACCTATTTTATTATGTACGAGACAAAATTTGCATCTAGCTGGATAGAATAATGATGAATTCGTGACACTTACTGCTCATCTGACAGTTGACTCACGCCACACTTATTCTTTAATGCCAACTCTTAAAAATTTATCAATCACAAAAATAACATAATATATTGAAGTTGATTGTAAACATCCGCCTCGCGAAGAAACATTTTCAGCTGATCAATTGCTGCCGAGTTCGAACTCTACGCCTATAATAGATCCTAGCAAAGGGTGTAAAACTTCAAAATAATAAATGCTTCTAGACCTTTTGTCTTGAGTTACAGGTATTCTACTGAAGTTTTAACCTATAGCAGGGTAAATATTCACAAATCGAATGATGCTATATTGACTTGAGCTTTTGCCTACAAAGAAACCTATTTGTGAGTAGAATGCCCTGCAAATTTAAGCATTTTTCATGGGATCCCAGTGAGTTTTGGCACTTGAATATCTCGCGAAGGAAATATTCTTGTGAGCTAAAATCTTCTATGTATTCTACCCATAAAAATATTTCTTTGTAGGTAAAATTACAGGTCAAAATATATACCATGGCATATGCTAAAATTCCAGTAAAACGTCAAAAATAACTCTTGACACTAGACTTAAAGACGTGTATCCTTGAGGGTTTTTATACTTCACTAGGGCCTATGTTATGTACAGAATTCGAACTGAAAATCAATTAATCACTTGAAAACGTCCTCTCGTCGATGTTTTACTTTTTGTTGGCATCTCCTGGCTGTCGTATTGCGTTGAAGTAGACTTTTTTCAAATTGCTGTGAAATTCTGTTGAAATTGATCAATTCCGTTCAACAAATATTATTTCTTTTATCTCTAAAAGTTAAAGATATTTTTGAGTAAACTATTGAGTACAACTTTCAAAATTGTCATATATCCAAGGAGGAAAAGTGAGACTTATATCATGAATCTTTTCAAGAAGTTTTTCATGATAATAGTTGAGTTCGGAGCAATTGATTTAATTAATGGCAGCCTGCTTTAAACCATGAATTAAGAATTATATCAATAGAAAGAGCTTAAAATTTAACGAACTACCCACGAGAAAAATTTCTCTATAGAAATGGGGCTAATAGCGATTTCAATTAACCCCAAAAGCCACATTGTATACATGTTCATACACATAGATGAAAACCGCGATTTTGACTGCTAGGTATAGACACAAACAGTTTGATTTTCGCGGTTCATTAAAACTGTGGTCAATCTTACATTCATTCGAAAAAATTTTCCGACAATATATATATAGAAATAAATTGAAAATCAAAAGAGACATTTGAAAGTTGCATTCAATAGTTTGCTAAAGTTATTCTTGGTTTTAGCAATGAAAGAAATCATATTCGTTGGATATTACAGATAAATTTAGAAAGAACTTCACAACGATTTAAAAAATTTTGTTCAAAACAGTAAGAACACTAGATGCCAACGAAAAGCAAGAAATGTGTTTCTCAATGATCCATATGACATAAATAACAAATGCTAACGTAAAACTTGCTACTTTGAAGCTTCAAAGAGTTGAAAATTGTGCAAAGCTACTTATAACTGACTATGGAACATTAAATAGCTCAAACAAATAAAATATGAACTTTATATTTTTTTTTCTTAATGGAAAATATTGTACGACTACTTAGGGCATAGTAAAAGTAGTGGCAGTGACACTTTCATACCGTATAGTAGACTTAAAGAAACTTTCTTTCTATAGAGTCTGATAGAGAAAGAAAAGCTCTATCCTTCTATACTATTTGATCATACTTCAACAAATATTATAATAATAAAATTTCGATAAAATGTGTTTCATTATCATATGTGCTGGTTGTATTAATACTTATTTTAAAAAATACAAGTGAGTATTTTTTGAATAACTCTTGATAAAAACAAGACAGAGAAGTGTAGTTTTCACCGTTGGAAAGAGGAGATGAAGACGCGTCGAATCGTATATTCCAGATTTTCCTAATCGGTTTTTTTTGTAAGGCTTTCAATTGATCTTTTTGAGAGCAAACTTATCTGGTTATGTTGTTTACAATGGATTTTCAATTATCAAGTATAAAATCAAACCACTAATCGAAGATCTAGAATGTTCGTAAGGCTAAGATGAATATTATGCATTCTAGTCTAGCCTTTAATATGACTTTATCGCAAAATCTGTGAAAAAAGCTCACTTTTGTGCTTTTTCTTTTTTTTTCATAAAAAAGACATTTTCCCGACTGTTAGAAAATTTAATAAAAATACCTCAGAAATCAATATTAGAAAAACTGACAATATACAATTCGATGCATGTTCATCTCCTCTTTCCAACGGTGAAAACTGCAGTTCTCTATCTTATTTCTATCAAGAGTTATTCCATAAATATTCACTAACATTTATAGAACTGTGACACATGCGAACAATACAGGTCTTATTCAAATTTTATTATTATGATATTAGTTGAGGTATAATCAAATAGCATAGGAAGATAGAGCTTTTATTTCTTGATCAGATTATATAGAAAGAAAGCTTTTCTAAGTCTACTATACGGTATTAAAGTGTCACTGCCACTACTTTTGATATGCCCTAAGTATTTTAATAAAAATTTTCGACATATATTAAATGTAATACAGAACACATCATAATCATGTAGACATAGTCCTTTGGTGACAAACCGAGAAATATCATAATTTGCAGTCACTAACTGTTCCGCGTTCAAATTCGTATTTGTTTTATTTATTAGAGTTTAGCCAATTTTTTGAAGAACAATAAGTAGAAAGAACAATTTATAATAAAAATATTGACGAAGAACAGTTAAACAGATCTAATCATTCTGATATACTCATAATCAACAGTCTAAAAATGAATATTGCCTAAAGGTGTAAGTCACCGAGTAAATACTTCAACTCTTTTTCTTATATATACCTTCAAGCGAAAGTCAGCCAAATGTGAGTTTTTTTACTAGTTATTATACGTGGCAAAGTATTAATGATTTATTATGTGTTTGAGATTTATGCCTTATGAGAAAAGGGAGTTGTCAAGTATTTCCTTGCTGTCATTATGGTACAGGCATGTTGTATGAAATTTCTTCACTTACATCAATTCCTAATAACATGTGTACGCTTACATTAAGTATCATTAAAGGAAAATTGTTACCTAGTAATTACTAATTAGAAGGTATAGTTTTTGTATGATTTTGATTGTCTGCGAGTCTTATGCTATTTCAGGTGCATAATACAGAGGAGTTATTGATGATTTTCATAAGATTTACTAAAATTATACATGATACTTCCGCTCTATGTTATATGAAATTGACCAAATATCCTATTGGTTGGCATACAGAATCGTACGTAAGCTAATACTTCCTAATTAACTATTACTAGATAAGAATATCTAGTTGCTGATGCTTTATGTTGTCTCATATTTTCTAATAGGAATTGATGTATGTGATAAGAAAATATGTGACAACTCCAGTTTCTCGTAAGACATAGAACTCAAAAAATAAGCAAATTATTAGCATTCTACATGCCATATAACTAGTAGAAAGAAATGAGACGTTTGCGACTTGCTGTTGAAGGTATATAAAATAATTAGTATTGGGATGTCAACTCGATTGAATTCATCTCTAATTTTCTTGTGACTTTGATTAAAATACATATCGCGTGCATTTTAAGAAGATAAAAATAAACCAAGTAGCAGCTGTTCCATTTCGCTTCCTCATGCTGATAATACCGACTGTATAATTAACCATTAGAATGTATGACATTCTGCATACAACAACAAATTGTGAATGTCTACAAATATTGTTAATGAAAAACTAAAACGTAAATATTATAAAGATTGTTAACACGATAGATAGCATTTTCTAATTAGCTTTTCAATTTTAATTAATATTACTAATATTGGTTGATTATTCATAAGAAAAGAGTATATGTCATGCTCATACAATACTAATTTTTACTTCCTTTATCTTTCGAAGATTAAATATTATTCAGAAAGAAATATATATGTCCTCCGTACTTCGATAGTTCAATTGTTAGAGCACTAGTCATGATAACAAGTTTTGGT